AATTGCTCTTGTCCAGCTTTGCATCGTGTAAAGCAAGTTTGTTACACATGACCTACCCCTGCGAAGGCCATATTGCGCATTCGACGATATATCGTGAGTTTCAAAATATATCATCAATTCCATCTTGATGATCTTCTCCATTACTTTGCAGCATATCTCTGTAGTTGTTCGCAGCTGCACGACTACCACTTTTGTAAAGCGGTGTAATAAGCGCTGTTTTCCAAACCGGAGGAAGGATTTTAGCATCAAACGATTTCTGGCACATCATGGAAAGCGGTCTAACCAGCTCTCTAGTAAGTTCCTTCTGCAATTTCGCAGGAATCTCATCTAGACCCGTAGATTTGCATTCCTTCAAGCTTTTTAGTTCTTGGACAATCGTCACTTCTCCAAACAAAATATCCTCAATATTTAGTGATCCCGCGATCTCGTCACTAGTTGCAACAAAGACAGGTTCTGTGGTAAAAACCGACCGAAAGAACTCAGCAAAGTGTTCTGCTTTGTTTTTACAGTCGGAGATTTCGAGACCGTCATCATTTTGCATAACCTTAATCGAGGTCCTGTTACGTGTGCTTTTCCTTAAATAGCTGTATAGAAACTTCGGATTCTTGACAGCTCGACAAAGCAAATCACTCTCAAAGTCCCGTCGTCCTTTGAAAACCGATTTTTTTACCTTGTTCTGCTGCATTTTGTACTGTCCAAAAACTTCGTTGTGGCCTGTTTTGCAAAACTTCTTCCAAAACTTTCCTTTTGTATTGATCTCTCTTTTGAGTTCTCTTTTCAGCCATTGAGGTCGGCTAGATATTTTGGGCACGTGCTCTACTTGAAACGAGGACGTGTTGTGCGCGAAGAACCTCAAGTGTTGTTTTTCGAAGATGGTGATCAAACTTAACTCGCTCTTTACATACATACAACTGCTCCCCCTGGCATTCCACTTGGTCTCGTCCAAATAATTGCTATCCGGTGTCACTGATGCTCTGCGACAGCCATGGTTCTGTTTTTGCTATAACATCAGGGGCACATCGGCCACCCGTATTTGAAGTTCTTCGAACTTTGAGAATAGACTCTGAGCGTTGGTATACAGACATTTTAGGCGGCGAGACTCCACGGTGTGCAATTCGTTTGGGCGCAAAGAGATCTAGTCTTGGCAAGTCGAATATATTTTTTTTCGTCGTGGTTAAAGTGAAGAAAATTCATATAACAACAGCATTGACACACTAGCATTTGAATGGATGATTGCATGAATCCTCGGTAAGTCAAATAATTGCGATTATTCG